CCTTTTCTAGGCAGTGGAAGGTCAGTAGTGATGCCCTGTTTCCCTGTATATCCTGAACCCAGAAGGTTTTTAATGTATGTTTAGGGGGTTGTGGTTATTTTTGTGGGTCTCATGTATTCCAGACTGACATCCTCTTTGTTGGGTAGTCTGGTCTTCCTGCCTCCACCTCCCAAGTGTGGGGATCATAGGCATGTGCCACCTCACCCAACACAACCCAGTTTGGCCTCTGGGTCCATCTATTTTCTGAAAATTTTGCTTGGAATTTCCCACTGACCCACTAATTTAACTTTGCCAGAACCTCACCCACACATCACCCCACTGCTTCTTTTAGTGGGATGCTCCTCTCCTTTGTTTGTCTCCCAGTTAGAGCAATTGGGCACTCTCTGTGGCTGCCCTGCCTTCTGTTCCTCCTTGCAAGACCCCACCCTCCATAGATCTGGAGGTGGAGCTAGGCCTCATGTCCCTTTTCCAAAACCTTTTGTTTGTCCCCATTTCTTAACCAAAGAAGTTCCAGATTTCTTAGCTGGCTCATGTCTGTCTTTAAATCATGCCTCCCACCATCAGTGACATTTCTGGCTATCCCTCCATTGTTCTGACCTTCCTTTGTAGCATTATCTCTAGGCTCCATCTGATGGCCCTGCTCTGTCCTGCTCTGAGAATCTTTGAACGCACCCTGGAAGCAGGAGCCACATTCTAGCCTCTTGGATCTTTTCCCATTGCCTGGCATAGTTCTTTGCCTCAGGCTGCTGGTAGAACTCAGTGGGTGGCTTTTCTAGTAGAATAATGTGCTTGTGTGTCCCGGAGAGAGGCAGTGAGACAGAGCCACCAGGGGTGCCATCTACCTTCTCATTGGGGGTGCACTGGCTGTTTACTTTTCTTTCTCATCCCTCTGGCCTTTAAATGTGAACATCCCTGGTGCTGGTTCCAGGGAGAAACTAAGAGGCCCTGTCTCTGCCTGCCGGATTCATCAACTTACAGAAACGCATCCTGTTTACATTTCTGGCAGCCTCTCGTTGATTTGGATGGTGGCCAACAGCTAGCCACTCAGCCCTTGTGGGTTTTTAACCAACAGTATTTCACATGCGCTGTGAAAGCATATCCAAACCCAATATGTCCTCTGTGCGCACCACTATGGCCAAGTCTCCTTGCTGCTCTAAAAAGACTGGGTGACCAGGGACTAACCTAGAAAAATCCATCAGAAATGAGACCAGGATTTTGAAGTTTGGAGTTTGGATCCTCATCTTGGGGCGGGGGAGGGGAGAGAAGGAGGGAAGGGGAGAGAGAGAATAAAACCAAAATACCCCAAAATCCATATCTACAGCAGACAAGGGCTTTGTTCTCAACCAAACATTCAAATGACTAGATTTATAAGTTGTCTTAAAGATGCCCTTTGAACAGTTTAAAGTGCTCCATTGTTCTGAGATGAAGTCATCAAGCTGCTTACGACCTTATTTATGTTTTCACAACTGAAATATATGGTTGTCAACACAGTAAATGTGCAGTAACAGTCCCTGGGAACAGGACTTTCCTCCCGTCTGGTAGAGACTCCAGTCTGTAGACTCATGGCTTCCTTCTTTATTCTTTAAGTGTATTCGGGTTTTTAGGTTTCCTTTGCTTTCTTATTTGGGAAATTGGTCTTTTACTTTAAAAGAGGGTAGGAGGAGACATTGTCATGGTGTTATACTGTGCAGCCCCCACACCACCCCAATGCATCCCATTGAGCTTTTGGAAGCCAGGATCTTATTTTATATCCCGGGTAGGCCCTCGCTTGCCTTCCAAATTCTGGGATTACAAACTGTACCACCACACCCAGGCTACTATCTTACTTTTAAGGCACTAGTAACTCTCAGTTCTTTTTTTTTTTTTTTTTTTTCTAAAATTTTTATTTTAATTGTATGTACACTCTCACTTGCTCAAATATTTGTACCACAGTATACATGTGGAGGTCATAGAACAACTTGCAGGAATCACTTCCTTCCACCATGTGGGTCCCAGGGATTGAACTTGGATCATCAGGCTTGGGAGCAAGTACTCTTAGCAACTGGGCCAGGCCTCTGTAAGCACATTTTAAGCACTGAGGAAGGCCTGGCTCCTGATGCTAAGAACAGTCTTGTAAAGACCTATAGAGATGTGAGTTGGTTTGGGCACAGTCTTTGCTTCTGCTACGTAAAAATGATTGTTCTTTAAGATTGCCCATTTCTTTTGTGTTTGTACACTTGTTTCTTGAGACAGGATTTAACCCCTAAGTTGCCTAGGCTGTCCTTGAACTTGATTTTCTTGCCTCAGCCTCTCAAGTGCTAACAAGTTTCTGCCATTAAAACCTGACTTGGGTTGGAGATTTCATTGCATGAAGTCACATTCCTTATGAAGCTAAATTTTTTATTCTATGAAAATAACTCCTGAAAAAATACCTTGTAGCTAGCACTTGCAAGATAGAGGCAAGATAATCTATGAGAGTTCAAGTCCGTCCTGGGCTGTGTCACAAGACTTTGTCTCAGAAAATAAAACCACAAGGCCTGATACCACAGAGTAGCATAGTAGGGCTGCCCATGTCATCTGTTGGGTGGGTTGGCTTCCTGATCCAGGCCATGTGGAGGCTGAAATCCTGTCCCAGCATCTTTGCCAGGCTCAGGCTGCCACTGCCTAGCAGGTCAGGAGTCCTCTTTCTGGTTTCAACAAAGGGGACTCTATGAATTTTCAGGTTAAGTTTTATTGTACATAATGTACAGAGTAGGAATGACTGCTCTTTCATTCCCAACCTTTAGGCTTTTGTCCTTTGGGGAAGGCAGAGATGAGACAGTGTGGTATGAGAAAACAGAAGTAGGAAGGCCCCAAAGACAGCAATCAGTGGAGAGCAGTGAGGCAGGAGAGTAGAGGGCTTGCTCAGACACTGACCCCAAATGAGTCCCCATGGTCACACTCAATAGCTGCTTAAGACCCAGCTCCTATTAGGGGCTTCAGAACCTCAAGAGCCTCACCTTTTCCTGCTCTTTCCTCTGACTTCTCTAGTTCCCATCTCCTGCTCCATCATTGGAACATAAACTGCTCTAGTTGCCGGTGAACTTTCTAAAGCCTTTTTATTTGAAATAATGATAGGTTTGCAAGAGGTTGCAAAGCTAGTCTAAGCAGTGTCTGCCAGTGTTCTCCGATGTTGTGACACACATAATTACAGTACAATAGCAGAATCAGGAAATGGACATGGGTACAGTGTGCATAACCATCACAATCAGGATCACAGAGGTCCTGTGCTGTCCCTTGTCATCATCATCCTTTCCTCTCATCACCAACCTCCACAACTACTGCTTTCCCAATCTGTGACCATTATGCTTGTGTCGGCCTCCCTTCACCTGTTGATTCACTGGCTACGTCTGCTCTTTGCTGAAAGACATCCTGTAATGTCCTTCACCCATTTTCTAACTAAGAAACTATTCACATTAGTTTGAATGTTCTCTCTGACTCACTCTCTCTCTCTCTCTCACTTGTGCTCTCAGATGGGGTAGTACACCCCAGCCATCCCAGTAATCAGGAGATGGAGGTAGGAGGATCAAGGGTCCAAGGCCTGCCTTGGCTAAGACCTCTTTCAGTGCATGTGTGAATATCTGTGTTTGAATCCCCTGCACCCACATAAAAACTGGACATGATTGTGTGGACCTATAGCTGCAGCCCCATTAGGATGGAGACAGGAGGATTCTGGGGCTTACTGATTTCCAACCTTCCTCCAGGTTTATTGTGATACAGGAATAAGGTGGAGAGCAACAGAGCAGGATGCCAGACAGCCCATTCAGGCCTCTGTATAAGAGCACAAGTGTGTGCACCCACATGCATATCCACATAAGCTACACACATAAAACAATAAAAAGGGTAAAATACCATGTGGGAAGTAGTAGAGCTGGTGATGTGTAGACTGGCAGGTAGCAAGGCAGACAGTCTGCTCTGAACTGGGAGGTCTTTCCTACCATTGCCTTCTTGATGTCTGCACTACTTTACACAGTACTATTCAGAGAGTTGAGTGATCTTCAGGCACTTGCTGCACACTTCACAGTCTCTGCCTGGCCTTTCTTGAAGCAGTGATCTCAGAGGGTGACCACCGAAATGGAGTTGTTCCAGGCCAGGCGTCCCCTGGCACTGTTTTATTTAGGCTTCTTTTCCATCCCCTTGACCCTGTCTGCAAGGGGAGGAAAGGGCAGAGAAGCACTCACTGTATTTTTAACACTGAGGAAGAAAGCGAAAGAATAGAAAGCAGTTTCTGCTGGCAGCACAGTATAGCAGTACATCTGGGTCTTTGACTCTTGCCAGGGGTGGGCTCAGCTCAGTCTTTTCCTGTCTCAGGGTTGCTTACTGCCTTGTGTTCACGACTTCCTGTTTTGAGTTGGGACAAGCACTTGTATCTTGGGAGGAGTTGACAGTGTGGATAATGTGCACTCACCATGCAGCAACCCAATCCCAGTGCTTTCACAGGAGGGAAAGGAGACACTGCACATGAACCACCACCTAGACATATAGGCTGTTGTTCTAGTTTCCTCTCCACTACTGTGGTAAAACACAAATCAAAAGCAATCCAAGTAAGAAAGGGTTTATTTCATCCTATACAAGGGCACAGTTCATCACCGAGCAAGTTAGGTCAGGAACTGAAAACAGAAACTATGAAGGAACATGGCTTATTGGTTCCTCTTTGTCTCATTTGGCTAGTTTTCCAATACAGCCCAGGGTGATGCTGCCCACAGTGGGTTGGGCCCTCCTGCATTGATTAATAGTCTAGACAATCCCCCACAGACCACTTTGATCTAGGCAGTTCCCCACTTGAGGCTTTCTTCCCAGATGATTGATTAGCTGTGGTCCTGGGAATTGAGATACTCATGCCCAGACAAACAAGGAGACATGCACTGGCTACAAATTTGATGGTTTGTGAGTGTCCTGCCTGTGACAGCCAGTGCTAAAGATCTTCACTGTGGCCTCAGAGCACACAATTAAACTTCCTTTCCCTTTTCACCTCCTTCCAGGGCTCAAGGGTGCTTGTGGATGCACGTGACAAGCTTGGCATTCCCTGGCAGCACTCTGAGAATGAGAAGCACGGAATGTTTTTGATGGCCTTTGAGAACAAGGCAGGGCTACCTGTGGAGCCTGCCACCTTCCAGCTCTACGTGCCAGCCCTCAGTGCACTCTGGAGAGACTCCGGGATCAGGGAAGCCTTCAGCCGCAGGAGCGAGTTCCAGCTGGTAAGGGAGCCTTCAGCCTTTATATGACAATCCTGCCCCCTGGAATTTCCTTTCAAACCCAGCCCTGTGATCCCCATACTCACTCAGGATGCTGGGGCGGGAGGATCTCAAGCTCAAGAATGGCCTAGGTTTTAAAAGGAAACCATCAAACAAGGAGAAAATGTACAGGAGCGAGCTGTATCTTGCCACAAATCCTAATATTAAAACACATAGCAGAGGCTTGGCCATCTTAATGGCTCCAGAGAGAGCACACTTCTCTTGGCACAAAGAGAAAGGGTTGTAACCATAGTCTACTGGCATTCAAGCTACCTTACCCTTAAAGCAGCTTTCCCTCCGAGGAGGTGGCAGTAGTCATGGGTCTCAAGTGTTCTCTGATGACCTTTGCAGCTGTCCTTTGCAAGTCAGTCTCTGCAGGTTTGTTCTCACCACTGAAGGGTCTGTAAGTCTCAGAAAGGCTAATCTTTAGTTGCTAAGGACATAGCCTACAGCCAGAAAATGTGAGATATTTTTCCTGTTTGCTTTGGAGACTTTTTCCCATCAATCCTACAAAACTGTCAGTTTTCAAAAAGAAGTGTTGGTCTGTCTGGTAATCAAGAGATGCAGTGTGACATCTATGGTCACAGTGTGTCAGGACCTCAACATCCTTCTTGTGTTTTTGCCCTGGGTATACATGATCCTGATCTACCTCCTTCATCCCTAGCCTTCTTCCTTGATATTGCTGTAATAGTTTCTTATTTCTAAACAATATGGTCTTGAGCTTTCAACTGTTTCCAAAGTTCGTATCAGTGCTTTCATAGGGCATATTTTCTTCTGTAACTTGCTTTTTTTCCCATTCAGATTACTCTCCATGGTTTCTTTTCACTGCTATATACTATTCCATTCTGCAAACAAAAAACTATTGCTTCTCATTGCTGTCTTTCTGTGTCATTTCTATGTTTTGTCTCACAGAGACTGCTATGACCTTTATCTGTCATCCTAGAGCTCAAGGGTGGCTCTAGGATGTCTACCTCAGAATGCAGTCACTTGGTCATGAGGCGTATTTATCTCCACATAGACACAGGGACACCAGATTCTTTCCAGAGTAGCAGTTGTACTGGTTGTGCTGTTTGTGGTGGTAGAGAGGGATCCCATTGTCCACAAATGGGCTGGTGTTTACTGTTGACAGGCCTGAGTATAGCTGGTCTCTTTAGGTTTTATTTGAAGTTGCCTTGAGTTCATCTGTGGGTTCCCTATCTTTTCTACAGCAGAGTATCTGCTTCTGTCTGCTGCCATCTCTTTCTTACTGAACTGTGCTTTCTTGTTCATCTTACAGGCTCTGCTAACATTCTACTCACACACTCCTTTCAGTTCAGTCCTATGGTGACGTCTCCCACAGCCAAGGCATAGTAGTCAAATCCAACTCCTTCACGTCAGTGCCAAGGCGAATCCTGGATTTCCATTATATGAAGCTTTCTGTCCCCTTGGTCTTTTCCATCTTCCCTGTCTGTTATGACCTGGACACCCGAAGACCACTGGCCAATTACTTTGTAGAATATCCCTGTGTATTCAGTGTCTCCTTAGCACTGGAATGAGGTGATTGAGGGTGTCATGGTAGCACAGTCCTGCCATCCCCGCACTGGGGAGACTCGGGCAGGAAGATTGTGAGTTTAAGGTCATCCTTGGTTTTTAAAAATGGGTGATAGGAGAGGTGGCTCAGCAGTTGAGTCTTTGCTGAGTAATTATGAGAACTGGAGTTCAAATCCCCGCATCTTGCAAACATCTGTACCTCTGAGGGATCTGCTGCCCCCTTCTGGCCTCTGTGCATGCATAGGCACACATACCAGCACACACGTGTGCATGTATTCACAGATACATTCATACACATGTAAATAAATAAAGTGAATCCTTTTTTAAAGAAGAGTACATTTTTGGGGCAGGAAAGCCACAAACATGGCATTGTGCCTGGACACTATGTCAGGAAGCATGTGACACCAGTTTGTTCCGTTACTTGGTTACAGCCCTGTCTGGTGGCCTTTCTCTTCTGGAAAGTTACCATTTCTCTGTATTTCTTCCTCATACATATCCTGGGAGACACTGTGAGACTGTGTGCATGTCCTCTTTTTCATCAGCCTGTGTGTGTGTGCACATGCGTGCATGTGCATACACACATGTGGAGGCTGGAACTTGATGTCTTCCTCTCCCTTAATTGTTCTCTGATGGAAGATGTCATTCTGTAAATATGTTTTTCGTATTGGTTAATGAATAAAGCACTGCTGGCCAATAGGAAAGCAAGATAGGTGGGACTAGGAGACAAGGAGGATTCGAGGAAGTAGTAGGGAAGAATCAACATGTAGAGACTTGAGAGAACAAAGGTCCGGGCCCTCTCTCCGGTAAGATGAGACCACATGGAAATACTTAGATTAATAAAAATGGGTTAATAGTTAAGACAGAGCTAACTGATAAGAAATTAGTAACTGGCCAACAGCTTTATATCTAATACAGTGTCTCTGTGTATTATTTGGGGCTGGTGCAAATGTGGGTCCAGGCTGCCAGGAAAACATACTCGTAACAGTTCTCCACCTTATACATTGAAGCAGGCCTTTCACTCAAACCCAGAGCTCACTGGTTTGACTACTCTAGCTATCCAGCTTGTTCCTAGGATCCCCTGCCTCTGCCTTTCAAGGGATTACCATTGGGTCACCATACCCATGCAACATCTACATGGGTTCTGGAAATCAGAACTCCAGCCCTCACATTTGTGTGGCAAGGTACTTCATCCAGTGAGCTAGCCCCTAGCCAGGCCTTCACCTTCACACAGTAATTTTTAAAGTCCATCTAAAGAGCATAACAAAAGCATTTTCCTCCCCTTTGAAGCAAAGTCTCACTGTCCAGCTGGAAAACCCACACATCCTCTTGCCTCGGCCTCCAGGGTACTGGGGTTCTACAGGTGTACACACCAAGCCAGGTAAAGATAATGCTTTTCCTAGTCCTTTCCATTTGCACATACTTCCTCAAGTTAAGTTGAACAGCTAAGGAGAAAGGATGAAACATAAATGATGTCATTGCCTCAGCAAAAAAACTTTTTCACATGGGTAGAAATGTAATCAAGCACTGGGAATTGAGTAGAAATTACTCTTCAATGTATATTGAGTGTTGGGCCTTTCCCCGTCAAGTCCTATGGCCAGGGAAAAGGGGTTCAGACCTGAAGTTGAAATGGAAATTACTCTAGTTGTGGAGGCTTTGACAGGGAAGGAGGTGCAAACATTCAGTGTTTATTTCCAATGGCTGCTTGATAAGATCTCCATCCAGGACATTAGTGTGCAGTTCTCTGGTCAGGTGTTGCCTACTTTTTCCCACCAGGTACAGTGTCTTAAAGCTGGGCAAGATCCCTGGCCTAGGAAGTTAGCCTTGTGCTGCTTCAAGCATGGAAATAAGCCCAGAAAGGTGTAGGATGGCTAAGGCCTACCTTCTTGGTGGCCAGTGAAAAATAGGGGCTTCAAGTTCCTATCTGCTTATTTTTATTTCCCTGTATACATTTATTCGTTCAATATTGAATACATATTCATGTGTACTGGACACCCAGATCCAGAGCTAGGGATTGAGCCAAATGCTAAAGAGTGGGCCAGGTGCTTGGGACACAGCAGGTAGACCAAAAATGTTTGTTCCTACAGCTTCCAATCCAGAAATGGGGTGGCTAATAGCCAGGGTGAGGCTGCCCCTGGTGAGGGGACAACGGTCATGATTCTTTTATCATCTTTCCATCATCCACTTCAGCTGCAGCTTCAGGTCACCTGTGTGATTTCAAAGACAAAGTTAACTACAGGCCAGTGTGGCAGGATTGACTTCTCCTGTCTAGCGGGTGGCAGGTACAGGGTGATTCATCCCTATATTTTGTACATTTCTGTAGTTTTCTTTTAGGAAAGCAGCTGACCAGCAGTGTTGAGCCGCCCTTGTTGGACAGTGATTTGAGCAGCTCTTGCAGAGCACAGTCCTCCTGCCCTGTGCCTGACTTTCCCCTGAAGCTCTCAGTGTTAGAAGCCTTTGGTGGGCCACATTCCAGCCACTTGTGGTTAGGGCTATTTCCCTCTCTGCTGCTCTGAGAACTGCATCAGCTGCTTCCTTGTTCTTTGCCATCTCAGATGTCTTTCCACATAGAAGAAGAAAAAAGGCTGGGTCTGGTGACCATCCCGGGGCAGCTTCCTCCTCTGAGGTCTTCCCTCTTCAAACATGAGGCAGTGTTGATTGTCCCAATCCCTAGGCTCCACATGCACACTAGCGTCCACTGCCTGAATGTGCCTCAATGACAGAGAAAGATGACTTTTCTAGGTTGCACCTCAGTCCTTACAGTGAAGGGGGCTGGCACGAGGGTTCAACCAGAGTTCCATTCCTAGGGCCCACATGTTGGAAAGAACCAACTTCTGAAAGTTGTTCTCTGACCACACGCAAGCCAAGACTTGCCGTGTGTACATACACACACGGGGTGGGGGGTGTAAAATCTTTTAAAAATAAAACACAGTGAGGGGAGGGAAGAACAAGGCACTCGTCAGAAGATTTTGTCATAAGTATAATGACTATGGATATGATCTTACCTGTCCTCCATGTATGTGGTAAGTGTACGCATGTATGGATATATATGCCCATGCAGGCCAAAGGGTGGCATGTGTCCAGTCCTATTACTCTCTTCCATAACTGCTTGAAATAGGGTGTCTCACTGAACCTGGAACTGGGCTAGCAGCCTCATGCCCTGTCCTCCTGTTTCTGCCACTTCCAGTGCTGGGGTTATGGGGTGTATGCCACAACTAGCTTTTTAAGCTGTGCTGGGGTTTAACTTGGATCCTCAGGCTTGTACAGCAAGTGCTCTTAACCTCCTGAGCCTTCTCCCAAGCCTATGACCTGGCCTCCTTTTGTATAGAATAGATTTAAGGTTTTTTAAAACACAGCATGTGAATTGTCATTCACCACCATGCTTTTCACTTAGGGCATGGGTGGTATCATGTGAGTAATCTTCTTTCTATTACCCC